TGTCATCGATGTGTGAAATTGTGCTGTGGGTATGCTTGTTGTGTGTTTGGCTTTTTTGTCTTGCTTCTCCATTTTAGCCTAGTCCCGGTTGGCCCAGGTCCCACATTGTCAGTTCAGTTCGAGGTTATCATCGCTATGGAAAAAAGGGATGGAACCTTTTTTGCCGGGGAGTGCCAATGTAGTTGAAGATTGAACGATCAGTTCATGGTTGTTTGCTCAAACCCAACTTCCCCATATTTGTTGCGGGTCATCGATCCGGCAGTCATCGTTTCACCGTTCACTGTTCAGAGGAAGAATATAAACTATCAGAAGTATTATTGTGATTTATTGTTATAACATTTATTCCTAGACCTTCCGTAATAACATTATTGTTGGTTGTAGGTTGGCCTTAGAATAAAGGATTCTTGAGTCGCCGATCTGTGTTCTGGTTTTCGAGTTGGTTATTACTAAGCGTTTCTGAAAGTCTTCGAGGGACAGCGTGAGGTCCAGCGTAGCCAGAGCTGGACGTTGACAGTTTATGAGACTTGGCTGACAGCATGTATGCATGTATAAAGGTATCGATGTATCTGGTGAACTAATGAGAAGCACTTGTAATGAAAGTTATTACTGTCCTGCATACTGTGTGACTGAGACGGGCTTGGAGTAATGCAATGCTGCAACTACATTCATTGCCTAAAAAATCTCAGAGCTTAACATCAAAAGGGAGGGAGAGTGGAGCATGCTGATCAGCAGATGTGGTAGTGGTCACAAATGTGAATCGCTCCGATCTCTGGAACAGCAACATGCTTTTTTAACAGCTCGAGGATTTAACGTGAGTAAAGGTCCTTAGCATAACATTAAAAAATAATAATGATTATATAGATCCAAATGTTTTTAAGAAATGCCTTTGCTCCTAACATCTAGAAGCCCGCTTAGCTTCTAGTCAATGGGCTGCTCCTTTGGGCCCTGCGGAAATTCGTGAGATATCTTACAAGTCAGCATTCCTACAGGTTCAAATCTTTAAGATCTTTGAATTCACTTCTCACTGAAATATCACTTATACACTTCACGATAACTTTTTATCTCAGTACTATTATGCTCTATTTAATATTAATCATCTAGGCATTTAATATAGCTATCTATTATAGAAAACCTCAGATGCTTTCTTGGAGAAATGGACCAATTTGGTTTTTTCGACATTAAGCTACTAAGCAAGGTAGTAACTTGTACGAAATACATTCAGCAGAAATTGTTTAAAATAAGTGTGTGGTTATAGACAATGCGTCGTAGGTTTAGGAAACGTACACTTTTATGTTCAAATGTATAACTGATTAGACTGTAGTTCTTGAGTAATTTATTGGGTAGGCTTTTAAGTTATGAGTCATGTGGGATTAGATGCAGACTTAACGATAAATGTTTAGTAATATGCAATGTGCACGTTGCGTAATCTTCACTGGGATCATTTACATGAGATGATTTCAAATTATGGATGTACTTATGTGATGAAAGTGTGTTCATCAGAATTTCCTAGTGAATTCATAGTTAAATAAATCCTCTGAAGAGTACAAGCGCTTACTTCGATGTGTAAGGTTTGCCCATATTTATTACGCTCAATTGCGGTATACACTTGAAACTAATATATAGTGTGAAAGTTCATGTAAAACATAAAACCTTCATGAATAAAGCAGAGAGAACATATCAATCAGTCAAAAACGTCTTCATTGAAGCTCGTTAGTCCCTACTAGATGCTCAAAACCCTCATTAATTCAATAGGCGTTTGCAGGACAGCCTTTCGTGGATTTTTGAGTCGTGTTTGAGGTTTCGGGATTTTCAGAACACGTGATTAGGCTGCATCTATGAAGTTAGGTACTCTCTGATATCTAGTTGTTTCCATACTTTCTTTATTTTGGCAGTTGTAAATTTCAGTCCCAATATCTTGTTATTGATGCGTTAGTGATTCAGTGTAACAAAATCCTTCAGCTCGGGATCTCTGATCAGTACCTAATGTTTCTCATATGTACAGTTTTCTTTAAGAGATAGAACCTCTGTTTTAACCGGATCTATCAGTGTGTACTGGTTAAGGGTGATTTCTCTACGCCTTCCCTTTCACTAACTTTTTTCTAATGGGTAGGTAGAACTTCAAGTATAACGGGTTCCTCAGCGCATTCCGTTACATTTCAGTAGCAGGCTCCAAATAATTAGCTTGAGAGTGGTGTGATGCTTTCTCCTCAAAAGGTTTTCTCTCAGTCCATGAACCATTTGATGTTACCATTGAATTATGCTGTTCATGGCATTTGATCACAGTCGTATGAAACCTAATGTGTGAAAAGGCAGAACTGAAAACCATTTTTAAAGTAGCATTAGGATGTATGAGTATCACGTCTCGGGACATGCTTGGCTTTGGTTGCCATGCAATAACTACTGCTTTTTTCAGTCAGTTAAATCAAGGCAATTCAAGGCAGTCTTACGTGACATACGTCTTACGATCTCATATGCATATTTTCGGAACAGGAAACACAATAGCATTTCTCCTTTGCTTGTGATAACGCCTATTCATCTTCAAATGGCATGAATCAAGAACTCAGAGTCGCAGTTTGAACGCTGAATAGGAAACAAAACCTGGAGTCGCTTCAAACACATATCAGTTGCTGCCAGAATGAGCAGCCTCACATATCGGAATTTTTAACTGATAAAATATGTATAGTGGTTTTAAACAAGTAAATATTTTCTTTATCAGATCTGCATGTGCTGATACATTGCATTTTTCTCGCATATTTTCAGAGATTTCGAACTGTTTCGCCCATAAGATAGCGGAAGTTTTCCTTTTTAGATTCAAGATTCTTTTTAGGATTAACAGTAACAGTTTGGCTGAAGTTTTTAGTTATACACCGTTGCTGTGACATTTTTCTTCTTAGTAATATTTTATGCTGGAACTTTCAACTAAAATTTGCCAAGTACTTAGGGTAGTGCCATCTTATTCAGGCTAGGCACATGATGGTCACGACACATTGCATTTTTCCATAAGTAAATTGTCGAAGTATCTATCTGGTGACCTATGAATGGTATTGCGACTGGTAGTTAGTCATTCGCATTAAGCAGAACTGAAACAAAGTTCACCAGAGGTGGAGAAAATTCAGCAGCACTGCAGCATAAATAGTGAACGCTAAGATGTCAGGCTTAACTGTGTTGATTGAAAAGCAGATGGGACAAATTTGATGTCACTACTTGATTGAATTAAGGAAACTTACTTACTGACATCAACCCCATCTACATTTCCATGTTTAAGGGGTTCCAAAAGTCTTAAAGAAGGGATGATAACAGATTGTGATATGACACCAAAAAATATTTCTTTGGCACATTTAGGTTGAAGATGGATCAATACTACAAATTAACCAACATTTGGATGACTCTCTCGACCATTCCCTGGTTTTGAAACGATTGCAACTAACGACTGCTCCCTACCGATTCCACCATAATAGCTTTTTTCGGAAAGCCTTCAGTTTAACCTGTAATAGTTTAAAAGCATTTAAAAGCCGCATGATAGCGCGTATAGTTGTAGCGCGTTTATTGAGATCAGGGTAAATCTTGGTTTTTCTTAGTGTGGGTTTAGTACAGGCTGTTTTTGCAGTTTCCATTGTTAGTATACCATTTAAGCAGATAATAACTAGGGGTCTTTAGCCTTTTTAAAATTAAATGCAATGAATTGCTGTTATTTACAGTTTGAAATATATATGTGTATATATATATGTGTACTAAACAGTTTTCCTATGGGATTTATTTCCTGTTTCGTCTGTAAAGAAGTTAAAGGGAAGTACAATTGTAAATTCCCTATCTTGTCTGTTTCGCAACGTTATATGTGATGATATTCTTCTTAGAATCGATCATTTTTCATGACTTACAGCGGTATAGCCTGGACTTCCGCGTGTTGTTATGTATATTAGAATTTATAGTCATCCTTTATTTCACTGAAAGTTATAGCTTCTAGTCAAATATATGCTTGTGAGAAGTGCTGACTGAGACAGTGTGCAAAGGAAAAATTCAGAGGTAGACGAAGACTCAGAAAGAAATTCCATTCAATAGATATGTTGTAGAACTGACCACTCAGACTAAGAGATGCGAATAGCAAATCACACTCTAAAAATGTTTTATGTCACGAAAATTTTATTTATCCTTAATAAAATAAGTACACAGTTTCTTAATTTCAGTGAATTTTGAGTAAAGTTGCAACAGTCGTTTGTCCGTACTAATGACTAGCTTTGCCATATAACAAGTAAATACCCTGGTATAGTGTCTAAATATGTGAATATACTATGCCAAATAAATTTTGGAGGGGTGATAATAAACCATTTGATGACTTTGTTTTGTTTCTATGATTCTCTGCTTTTCAAGAGTACGAGTCGATAGGTATAAATTTAGCATTCATGTATGGTGTTCTTGATATTCATGTTGAACTGATCGCAAGTCTCTTCTCTAAAGGCTTTAAGATGTTACGTGTGTAGCTGTTGGTACTGGGGCAATTTTTATGTACTGCGCTTTTGTTATTTGAATGGCAAAATCTCACTACTGCCCTTAGTCTTAAGTATGATTTTCCACCCATAAATAGGATATAAAGTAACCCCTCTGTTTTCCTTTCCTAAGCTATTGTATTTTCAGGAATAAGTAGTACTTCTTTCGCATTTCATTGCTGAAGGCTTGTCTCGAAATCCTTATTTCGTAACAATTTCCGACATGCTTATCGAAAGTGGTCAAACTAGATGGTAGACGAGACCTATTTTCCGGTCATACAGAGATATAGAGGGCTTACCAAAAACCCTTTAATGCGTTTGCTTTTACCTTGAGAACACAAATCAACAACTGTCGCTTTGTTGTAACTTGTTTACTGAATACATTTTATTTTTTCAGGTATTGTAACATTTTGTCATAGGATAAATATTTGGCAACATCTGGTCTTTGGAATTTTTGTGTCTAGTTGATCCACTTAAATACCTGTGTTACAAAGCAATTATTCGGTTTAGAACCTCATGCAAGAGTACAAGCTTGTGGTTCTAGGAAGTGGAGGCGTTGGGAAAAGTGCATTAACTGTACAGTTCGTTCAAGGGATATTTGTGGAGAAATATGACCCAACGATAGAGGACAGCTACAGAAAGCAAATCCAAATCGATGACAGGCAGTGCATGCTAGAAATTCTTGATACAGCTGGCACGGTAAGTTATTTTATGTATATACAGTTGTACGCTTTAATTTCGGGTGATAGTTTATGTTCCAGGAAAATTTATTACTGTATAGTTGTGAATTTCCAAATAAAGATACTTGATAAAACAACTTTAGTTTTAACCCGTTTTATGAAACAAAAGCTTTTATCGATGTTTTAATATGGGAATGACGCTACTTCCAACTTAGTTAATCTTTACTTCGACAAATAGCCTTGTGCTTTAATTTATCTACTCACACTTCATGTGTACATAAGATAAGCAGATTGTAGAATTGCTGATAGTTTAAAAGTAGAAACACTAGGGTCGACTATTATTTTGGTCATTAAAAGTACCCAAATATGTCTCTTCCAAATTCTTTGGCTTTTTGATATAGCACTTTAAATTATTTTACTTAATAAGCACTGGCATTACCATACAGTTGTCGATGAGTCACACCTACTGCATAAGTGCTGATGATACTACGTGACTGCTCAAACCTCGGTCGGTGGAGCAGGGTCCGAACTCGTGATCTAGTGTTTAGAAGTCGAGCGCCTAGCCCAATTACTCGTAGCTCCACATTACTTTATGGTTACATTATGGTTATCGATAACAAAAGTTGACTATATGGGCGCGTTTTTGTAGATTTCTGTCTGGATTCAACATAGAACTTGACACCGAAGTGCAGCAGTTCGAGTTGCCACGTTCCAAATATCACACAAAGGTAGACTAGGAGATGAGTGAAGAGAATCAATAGAGTTTGACAAATATAAGAGTGAAACAGAGTGGGTAATTGTAGAAAGGAATATGAAAGATTACAGAGACTGAATACATCTGCGCCATTGACAACGATTTTGAGCCATGTCACCTATTGTCTCCAGCCATTGATTCCTAGAGTCCCGAGGCCCCCAACCCGGGAGTCTGCATCTCCCTCCCTACCTGACTCAGTTTAACTGTCAAGGATTTCATGGATTGATGAGGCCATGTTTTTGTTTGGCCACCACTGGCTCTTTTCCAACCTGCACCTATATCAGCTAGCAATGCCCGTCGGGGGAGGCGGTGGTTCGGCATGCGCAGCACGTGACCTAGCGATCTTAGTCTATGTAACTTTATAGCCTCGTCGATTGATTTTCCCTCTTTGCCCAACACTCTACGCCTAACGTCAACATTACTTACCTTATTAAACCACCTAACGTGAGACAGAGATCGCAGACATCTATGATCGAAAGCAGTCAACCTTTTCATGTCTTCAACGCGTATTGGCCATGTTTCAGAGCCATAGAGAAGGACGGAGCGAACTGATGAGCAGTACACACGTCCCTTGGTTGATAACCTGATGTCACGCCTACGCCAGAGATGGTGTAAGTCAGCGAAAGCAGCTCGAGCTTTTCGGATCCGTGCTGAGATTTCATCGCCAATCAGTCCGTTGGTGCTAATACAACTTCCCAAGTAGGTGAAGTGGTCAACATGTTCTATCACTTCACTCCCTATCACTAAGTTAGGGATTGACGTGGTCCAGTCCTGTAGCAGCATCTTACATTTTGCAGGGGCGAATCGCATGCCAAACATAGGAAGATTGCTTCTCAAGGTGTTCAGAAGACTCTGCATTTTGTCAGCATCCTCCCCTAACAGGACTATGTCATCTGCATATTCTAAGTCCATTAGATTATTCCCTGGTAACAAGTCGATTCCTAAGTCACTACGTAGATTTGCTTTTACTCCTACCTAATTCCGCATTCTCTTCGTTATAACAGGAACAATTTACCGCGATGCGTGATTTGTACATGAAGAATGGTCAAGGTTTTGTTTTATGCTATTCAATCACATCACAGTCTAGTTTTAATGATTTAACAGACTTACATCAGCAAATTCAGCGTGTCAAAGATGATGTTAATGTTCCTCTCATACTTGTTGGAAACAAGTGTGACTTAGAGCAAGAAAGAGTAGTCGGTCGTGAACAAGGTCAACTGCTGAGCAGGCAGTTAAACTGTACATTTATGGAAACGAGTGCCAAAGCTAAAATCAATGTTAATGAGGTATGTTTCTCTCTTGATTTGTGGCACATAACCTTTGCATTTCTAAATCCCATCTCCAATTTCATGTCTTCCTACTTGGATAATGTATAGTAATTTGTTTGATGGTTTTTCTATTACCCTATCTCAATTTTTGCAAATACTTTTGTTAAATCCTATATGACATTTGTAGATTACTTGAATGTCCAAAGTACTGATGAGACATGTGGTTTCGTTAACCTAAACTGTCAAGATTTTGACATACTAAGTTTAGGACAATCATAAACAAATAAGATGTTTGCGTAAGGAACTCAAGTCACACGTGTATTCAAATTAGCACCCTTATGATTTGTGGTTTAGTGTAGCTTGCTTTAAAGAAGCGCGTACTGCTTATACTAACTACAGTAAAGCAGGGCATCTAATCATTTTATGATTTGGTTGATTTTCATTGTTAGTTTTTATACAATTTGTGTTCTCCATACTCTAACATGCCTACATATACTTCAGTTATGCTTTGTACGTCTATGCATTGGTCTAAAGGTATTCATTTCGTTTTGTCTGTATTTTCAAAATGATAAATTGTTAAAATACTTGCGGCATCAACTCAGTTAAGTTCATGTTGTTGTAAAAATGTGACAACTATACTGGATGTTTGGAATGTATTGAATTCTTACGTTTCTGATGAAGTATAATTGTGCATCTATTGTAACTTTGTTTCTGATACTACTTGTGATCATTTGTCGTCTGAAACTAAATGGATTTGAGTAAAACTTTTAGCTCCACTTTATATTCACCTTAGTTTGATGGAATAAGAATTTACAATATCTAGCGTCACTACAGTTATTAAAATCACGACAATTGAGAATGGTGAGATGTCTAACGAATAATGTAGGCAACATTCCGTTAAAAGTCGGTATATATCTATCATTGCGTCGAGCCATCGTGCCTCGTTTAAACATTCCTCCTTCGTTGTGAAAACAGTTAAAATAAATTTGTGACCAATTTTCAATTAATTGTTGTAAACCAAATCCACTTAGCGGTTTAAAAATGTTGAATATATGTAAACTTTTTGTGAATCACCTCAGCCTGTCTACACAATGTATCTACAAAATGAATGTATAAAGTATGGATTTGGATGAGAGGTGCCATCTATTTCTTATGGTTTGGTAAACACTGTGAGTATATTTGGAAGGATGTCGGAAGTATACCTTTCCGATCTGAAGTATGCAAAACCTTTTGATAAGGTGATTTGTGTTGCCATTCTATCTAAGCATTTCTGGTTTTAAAATCGGTGTTATGAAGCTATCAAACATCTTACCAGACTAGCTAGGTGCTTGTGCTATTTCTCTTTTCATGCAGTTTGTGTGTCCCAGTTAAACATTCCTACCATTACTCTGGAGAATTCTGGCCCTACCATCAGACATTGTAGCATAATATGAGTAGTTGAAAAACTGTGGAATTCTTTCGAGGTGTCATTAACTCCATTTCGTTAAAATCATGCCATTTAACTGGAACACGTAATAATCATCAAGTGTTGTTTTGCAGGGATTTTATTGGTTACAAATTTGATCACGAGTTGACATAAGTTAGGGAACCATTAGAAGACCTGGGAGTATTTAACAGCTGTTTGTCCTAGTTTGGGACTCCTCAGTAGCAGTTGGGACTCATGGGCCATTGGATTGTGTTCCAACTGATGAATAGTCAGCGAGCTCGCCTTGTAATATTGAGGTCCTGGGTTCGAACCCCGGTGAGTGCGTATTGATAAACAGTCCCAAACTAGGACGATATAGCTGTCCAGTATTCCCAAGTTTTCCGATGGTTCTCTAACTGATGTCAACTGGTTACCAGACTTGAAACACTTAGTTTTATTTTCTAAACCACCTTTTTTTAGTAGTTTCGATAATTGTATCACTCTAGTCAGAGGTGCATGTCTAATGGATGCTATTTCACTTTTTATTGTTACCAATACTATTATTGAAGGCTCTATGTTTAACAGCGACTAGTAAATCACATGAATAAATTGGTTTCTTTTATCAGTTATACTTCATGCAATAGCCTCGGTTGATGTGCATTTAAATTTGCACAAAATGTGAATTTAGCATTCGGTAGCTGTGTTCAGAAATCACTGGTGGGCTTGACCATTGAGCTTGTTTCGAAGTATACTTGATTGTTTGTTGTTTTTGATATCTTTCTTGTATAACCTGCCTGTTATTATGATTTTAGTAGTAATGACAATCCAACTATCATAAAACCCTAGCATGTTCTTTTTAATTTCGGAGTGTTTAAAGCACTATAACGGATGTGCGGAATTGGTTTAGACATTTGTCTATTCCCTCAGATCGCATCCAATATTAACCGTGTTCGACTCCTAGCACATACTTGCGCTGTGCCAAAATGGAACGACACGTACAAACTTCCTTTCTCCCAGGGGCTAAATGGTCAGCCAGCTCATCTTATAATCTGTAGTCCTTGGGTGCACACCATTTAATATACCTAGCCTGTCATCTACCCTGATGTTCTCGTGACTTTTTATTACCAGATATCAACTACGATTGGATAGCACGCGACCTAGTGGTTGTGTGCAAGATCCGAAGAGGATTGTGTACTGTATGCATGCGCCCCACCCTGGTAGTGTTTGTATCACTAGTTCAACGGCACAGTGGTAGCCAACCATGCACATCGCCCGGGTTGGATTCCCAGTCGATGCGCTCCTAAACCTCGCTTGGCCGGTAAGAAGCCCCGTGTAGATTAGAGGGTGGTTGGGCGTGAGGCTAGTAACCTCACCTTGTGAAAACAACACATCTGCTGTAACTGCAAAGCTGAAGCTTGAAATAAGAGGACTAGTGATACTACTCAGTTGCTTAGGCTGAAGTAGGTGGGGCGGGATTTGGACCCGAAACCCATAGACTGAAAGTCGACTACCTAAATCAGTGAACCACACCTCTACTATTATGTTAATTTAATATAGTATCTGAAGCTATCGTTTCTAAAGAACTTCAATTTCATGTTATATAATACCTCCATAACAACTGGTTGTATTTTCCACGCTTCAATAAATTGAATATGTCAGTAGGTTCTTCTTCGACATCCTTAAGTGTCTGATTTAACTCGAGATTACTTTGAATTGGCCTTCTCTGCAATTTCAATGGATACTTTTGTACTAAAATCAGGTAGACACAGTTCGGAATGGTTTTAAAAAATGATTTCTTTGAAGAACGTTAAATTTATTATACTGTAGTGTTTTTAATGCACCACTGTAACTGACGAGAGGAAGGTTTTTTGATGTCTTGGCATAGTTATTTGTACAGACTTGCTGTGCTTGTCTAACGAAAATCGCAGAAAGCTTTTGCGATTAAAAGAATCGAATTGAGATACTCCACTCCCAGTCTATGAAGTCACTTGTGTTCAAATTATTAGTCACCCAGGTTAATTTTATTTCATATAAAAAATGACAGTCTTTGCCTTTAAAATTTATGAGTCGAATCTATCATCCGTACTATCCCTCTCTTTTTTTATTAACTCTTACCTTTTTTTACTTGTGTTATCGTTTCAATTCCTTTTCACCTCCCCTTCTGGAATTTCTTGTACGGTGTTGATATGAACTATAGTATCTTAGACCCAAGTATAGTCATGCTAAGTTTTAATTCAGTGTTTTTTGTTTCTTCTGGTCCCACTGCTTATAATTAATGTATCAAAATGAACTAATAAAATACTGTTGCAGCCGCTTCGTATACTCATTTCTTATCAGTTGTAAGGTGCGTCGGTGGCGCAGCGTTTAGGACGCTCACCGACCATCCACATGGTCCGGGGTTCGACTCCCGGCCGACGCACTCTTTTACCTCGCTAAGCCAGCAGTGAGACTGGTAAAGCGGAAAGGTTAGACATGAGGCTAGCAACCCCATCCTGTAAAAATTAACACTGCTACAGAAACTTCAAGCCTCCAGCTTGGAGATCTATGTTCCACTGGGAACGTGAAGGTGTCTAATCAGTTGTAAGAGTACAGAGAATTCATTTAATCAAAATGTCTTTTTTCGCTTCACTCACTGAGTCTTTTGAGAACCACAAGGGTTTGCAATACTTCTCTGTAGTTTAAATCAAGGTAGTTGAACTAGGATTCGAATCTAATACTCACTGCAGAAAATCAAGTAATCTTCCCAGGTCAGTCAATGGAGTAAGTAACTCCAAGATTGTTGCTTCTAATCCTGTAACGACAAGGTTTTCATTACAACTGTCCCCTTATGTCATATTGATGTTCACTTCGTTATTAGAAAATGTAGTCTAGTGAATACTTGAATATACCATAATGCTTTTCTCAAATTACATACAGATATTCCTGATTCTGATCTTGAGCAAGCATAGGCTTGTTGCTCCAGTATCCTTCAATATAACGTGTGTTTCGATTTTGGATAGACTATTTATTGATTGGTAATTATAAATAACCAACTAGAAGAGCATACATTTTTAGAACAGTATTGCAAAGTTAAATAGTTTCGCTTATCAAAGCAATGGGGTGAATAGGAGCTTAAAAGAACTTGAAAGATTGTCTTAAATCTAAATTAATGACACATCATGTTATATACTACCGATTGACCAATTGGTGTGATTAGTTGAATACTATTCACACCAACCAGTAGTGCTTATTAGTCAGACAGAAGTGATGTAGAAACCTGACTACCTTCTCGGTGTTTTGGGCCGAGCTCAAAACTGGTGTGCCAGGATTGATTGCTTCAGCTGAGAGACTCGAACCAGTTCAAACCATCTAAATTTTGGCTAGCCACTCGAGTAGACTGACAATATGCTGAATTAATTAATCAATTATTTAATCTGCAAATTATGGATTCGGTTAATTTAATAATAACCAAGTATACTAGTAGCGAAGATTAATAGCTGTGTTGTACTTTTCTTAAACTTTTGATGTTTAACGGTGAATGTGTTTCATCAATACTCTAAAAAAGTGACTCCACCAAAATATGTGAAAAAAAGTGTTATTACGTAGGCAGCACTCTTTGCCAAAGCCTATACCG